CGCTGAGCCGGACCGGCGGCCCCAGCCCCACCGCCACCGACCCCAGCCCGCTGCAGGGAAGGCAGAGATGGCAGCGAGATGTCTGCCCCCCCAAGGGGCCATTCCTGGGCAGTCAGGGCCACCCAGGGCATCGCTGTCCCCACACAGCCCACCCCTTGTCCCCACATCACCCACTCACCAGGTGTGGCAGAGGTTGAAGACAAAGTCGGGCCCTGGGGAGGCAGGAGGGAGAGGTGTCAGAGCCCTGCAGTGCCATGAGTTCACCTTTGCTTTGCTTTGAGTCTGTGCAGCAGCGTGGGGATGGGCAGGACAGCACTGTGACATCCCAATGTCCCCTCCTCCTCAGCCTCTGTACACCCCCATCTTGCCCAAAAGCCACTCTGCACATGGGTTTCCCCAGCCCCTGGGGACCAGTAAATGCCAGGTGTGGTCTCCACATGCTGGGCTCTGCAGCCCTTTCCTTTGGAGCCTCCCTTGTCCTGCCCGTACTCACGCTGCCAGCACGGGCGCCCCTGGTACCACCGGACGAAGGCGTAGCCAAAAAGCAGCAGGATCAGCACAGCCAGCCCGACCTCCAAGACAACCCCGAGTGTGCTGATGGGCTCTTGGCCTGGAAAGCAGAGGGAGAAGGGGCTTTGCAGGCAAATACCTCTGTGGATGCTGGGCATCCCCTGCTCCTGGGGACAGGACATGTCCCTCCACCCTGTGTGAGGCTGTTGAGCACCGTGGTACACAGGTTTTTGCTGCCCTCAAAGCCAAGAAGAGCAGCAAGGTACCACAGTCACGGCACTGGCTGTCCCAGTGCTCCCACAGCCGCGCGGTGCCGCACGTGTGCCGCTGCACAGCTCCATTTCTGGACAGGCAGTTCCCTCTAGAGGACACGTTTGTCAGGGCCAGCAGCCGCCTGCTGGGATGGGAACGGGCGATGCCAGGGCTGTGCAGTCCCCTCCATCCCTCCCATGTGCACCATGGGCAAAGCCCGGCGCCAGCCAACACTCCCCAGCAGTGCCAAGGGGACACCGATGTGTCCCAGCACAGCGCAGGCGATGAGCAGCCATGGGTTCCTGTCGTACAGAGCCAATCTCGTGCAGTGCACAGCACCGGGCTGCTCATCGCACCTCTTCCCAGCTCCCAAAACCCCATATAAGAGCCATCCTGGACCCTTCTTGCCCTTCTCACACATCCTCTTGCACATCCCCACACCCACCACTAAGCTGCCCAGTCAGTCCCAGTGCAGCCCATCAGCAAAACACAGACAAGGGGGTGGTGGTGGACACTCTGGGGGCTGTGGAGGGGACTTTGGGGTTTGGCCACTGCCCCACAGCTCTGCCCTGGGGTCTGGGAGCAAGTGCCTGGCACAGAGAGCGGGTGCTGCGCCTTGCGGCATCGGGAGTGAGGAGGCAGCGGAAAAGGATGACCTAAGAGCAGCTAAATTTAGACAAATGCCGGTGGAGTGAGAACATTTCCCCTGTGGTCACGCTGTTTACATAGTGAGCAGGGCCCCAGGTCGTCCCTCAAGCCGCGGCACTCGCTCTACCGGACAGGACCCAGGCAAAGCCCCGGGGAGGCGCAGGGCACCGCGCTGCCAGCACGGCAGACGGGCAGGACCACTCTGCCTTTCCCTTCCCTTCCCTTCCGCAGGGCTCAGGAGACCAAGACACGGCCAACAACCCCGGCTGCTGCGGGGCCAGGGGCGGGCTGGACCCCAGGACCCCGGTCCCCATCGCGGGCCGGCGCGGGCCGGGTCAGGGG